ACATGTCCCATCAATAAGGCGTTCCTGTCGACATTTGTTGGTTCGATTCTGAATAAATCTGTGAAAATCCCAGGAGATCAGCAGTTTTATAAAAAGTCAAACCAACCTTTCTGACACAATCACGTTGTGTCAGTCGTGTAATGTCAAAGTCACAGAGATCACGATTCCTCCCCATTTGGATGTTTGATTAAGTGAAGCTTGTAACCTGTACCTGCATAAAGTTATGCATTAGACTGCCGCCTCACTACAGCCAGCGTCTGCATCGGTTTCCTTCGGGTAATGAGTTAGTTGGAGACTCAATCGACCGTAGGTGTGATGGTTGTTTGTGTCAGTATGTTGGCCCTGTGATACGCTGCTGACCAGTCCAGGGTGTAACCCCACCTCCTTCCCAATATCATCCGGGATTGACTTCAGCCCCTCCTGCTACACTTAAAGGAGGAGATGGATGGATGGATGGATGGATGGGTGGATGGATGGGTGGATGGATGGGTGGATGGATGGGTGGATGGATGGGTGGACTGTTTCCCCATTGGCTGATTGAGAATTATAATACTAGAAACATTGCTTGCAAGCGTATGTTTACCAAAGTATGTGTCAATGTAAACAACTTATTACTGGCTCCATTAAAGCAGAATGTGAATTTTTATATGTATAAACAGTGCTTTCAGCTTTTTGTCCTTGCTTTAAGAACCCACATATACATCTGAAAATCTGAAATGTGCCTGTGTTGATGCCTTCTTAAGAGTGCTTGACAAAAACATACAGGCCTTGCAGCTTTAAGATCATGTGCTACAACAGGATGATGGCCGTAACTATGGAAACTCGGAATGAGAATATAATCAAGAATTGTATATTATAGCCAGTGAGGCAACATGAAACGTCTTCTTGTTGTAAGAGGACGCTTTACTCTTCTGACACACATCAGCAGGTGCGTAGCCACAAATCACACAGGCTTTCCTCTGAGCTGTGACAGCATGTGCTTTTAAGTTCTGATGCAGAAGGATTTAAGTGAAAAAATCTGGGAGTCATCTCCTTATTCCCATCTTCCCCTGACATCAAAGTGCTCTGAAGGGAATACTGAGGAGTGATCCATTGCTGTAGAAGGAAAAAACATTGGCAGGCCTATAAAAAATAGATCAGGCTCAGGTGTTTTCCATGATCGTTGTAAATTTTATCAATATAGTGAATTAAAAATACAACAAAAGCAATTTAAATATTTCCTCTTTCAAGAATACAAAATAGTATACTTTAAATAATTATGCACTTGGCAGTCAAAACTGAGATAAGTCTTAAGAATAAATGTACAGACATAAATAATCCTATCTCAGGTCCTCATACAAGCAAGAAACGATGAAGTACAAAAAACAAAGAAAACACAGTAAACAGTTTTCATAAAGACAACACAACACTCTTAAGACTCCAGAATATGTATATTATTAAAAAACATAATATTTACTGTGATCCTGACAGCTCACATGGCATAACGTTCAGGCAGATATGACTTGGAGTTGAATATGCAGATGACTTCACTGCTGAACGGAGATGCGTTTTTTTAATCTGCTATGTTGTGAGTTCTTTATAACTTCATTTAAGATATAATATATATAATTGTGGCAGTAGACCATTGCACGGGGTTCCCACCACAGCAGCCAGAGACAAACCATTCAGGTTTAAGCATCTTGTATTAAACTTCTAAACAAAACTCTCCAAAATACAAACTTAACATGTGCAGCTGTTCCATCTACGTGACTCTTGACGCAGCTCCGCCGCTGCCTTTTAAACCTGAGGATCAATCAGCTAACAGCTCTCACCTGGGCTGATTGATCCTCTGTGGTGCAGACCTCCACAATAATAGATCTACTTTTTTCACCTCTATCATTGTTATATGATTTACACACCACACCCTATAATAGTTTTCAACTAGATTCTCATCTCCAGCAGCTTTATTACTGTAAAAACAAAGCAGGAGTCCTGCTGAGAATCATGTTTAATACATTCACTGTGTGTGTGTGTGTGTGTGTGTGTGTGTGTGTGTGTGTGGGCATCTCAGTGATTGAGGATCTTTATCATTTGTTTACCAGGGCCAAGGTCTATAATTGCATTACTAATAAAGAATATGCTCCCACATCTTCAGCCATAATGGAAAATAAGTGGTGGAGAGAGCAGAGTAAAGTCTTTTAAAAAGAAATGATTAAACTGGGTTCTGGAGATCAGAATGCATCGAGACGCCTCTGTATGCACAGCACAGGCAAAACATTTCTCGGCACACCGAAAATCCAGCTGGAGTCGCGTTTTGTTTACTTTGCTCAGGTATTTCGAGAGTGCCTCTTCAGAGTAAGACGTCTCCTGACTAGGAAATTATGGTCTATGACAGAAGTTAAGGCTGGTTCCAAACAGAGTCATGTCAGAAATGTCATCTGCTACTCACAGCGCTCTCACTTGAAAAATTCAATCAAAAGTTTGTGTTGATCAAGCTCAGAAGTTTCAGCGAAAACAAAGTCAGAGGGAAGCAATCCCACATTCTGAAGAGACAAAAAGTCATCAGCCGAGGTAATGATTTCTGGGTGTGCAGTATGTGGTGCCATTAGTGTTTATACACCGGAGGTCTGCTCCTTCACTCACCCTACTCAATAAGACGGAGCAGTCATACCACCATTATGGAGGCTTTAACGGAAACGCTGCTCATTCACTCTGAATTGAGTGACCTTATGCATTGATGAACTGCATTGTGGTTCCTTCTGCCTCACTTTGCTTGTGTTGTGTCAATTTTTCAAGCAAGCGAACCAATCAAATTGTGTTCATGCCAATACAGGTCCTGTCTGATATGAGACGTGTCTAGTCTGGAGACAGGAGGCAGTGTTCATCTGGTCGGGTTGATTTTTATTTTTCTTGTTTCCATTAAGCATTGCATGGACCGCTGTCGCAGCATGTAAACCATTTGTGTGTCCAAAGCAAGGGTATTGATTTTGTGGTGTGCCATTTTGTGATGCCATTAGTGCTTATTTATTGATGGTCTGTTCCCTCGCTGCACTTGCAATGGTTATGATGCACATTGAACTTTGGCAAGTAACCAGCCATTAATGCTTTTTTAAATCTCGGGAACTGTGTGCAACAGTATTCTTCTTCTTTTCACAACGTGCAAAATGCCACACTGGAAAGACAGCGAGGTGAGAGGGCTTCTCAGTATCCGGCACATTGATGATGTCGAACAACAGGGTCAAAATTCTAACTTTGGTGTAAAAGAGTGGAAGTGCCCTGTGTCGCAAAGCAGAGGAACAGCTGGAGTTGGAGCTGAATTTCTGGGTGGCCTAAACTATTGTTTAGGTTTTGGATGTTACTACAGGAAAAAAAGGCTTACTGGACATGCCCCAGATGTAGACTTTATCAACACCTACTGGCCCAGGATTCTTGTGATATCTGCTGCTGCTTGTCCTATCATGGCCACATGGGTGTATGGAAGAGCTGGGATGACAACAGCAGGAGGTGCAACTGCGACAGCCCGCTGTATGACCCGACTAGGTCTGATTAGAACATGAAAGAATGAAAAATAAACCAAGAATTTGATTTGATTTATAACCTTGGATCAAGTGCTACAGAGGTTCTAACACTCCGTCTGAGCTCGGGTCATTGTTGTTAAACTGTTATGGGAGGTTTTTATCTGAACTTTTGCCAGCCGGTCCCTCTGTACTTCCTGCTTTATAGATAAACTAAGTGGAAATGGGGACCAGCCCTGAAAAAAGCTTCTCCTGTCAACTCAGCTGCTTGTTAATTTTGATCCAGACAGGGAGATTATGCTGGTCTCCTATGACACCGCTGCAGTCCTCTCATATGGGAGGATGGTGATGGAAAATCCCCATTTCCTTTACCTCACAGTCTCTGACAGTGGCTGAGAGGGGTTATTCTCAGTGATCTTAGGAAGGTCTGGCTGTTGTGTTCGCTGTCAGACGTTTTCATCAGTATCTCTATGGGCATCTGTTTACCATCTGCACACACCACAAACTTCTGATAAGTTCGCTGTTGCACCCACGGCCTCAGGTGGGAGATGGGCTCTCCCGCTGTCAGCCTAACGGCATATCCGTTTCAGAGCCGGTGAAGACCATGCAAGGATATATCCTGAGCCCATCCCACCGCCAGACATGCCGGCTGCAATTTGTGCCAGGTAAAGGGTTTCCTCTCTTCAGACACTGAGGAACTGAAGCTAAACACATCAAAGTTGGATGTGCCCTGCAGGGTGTGCTCTGCCACCCTGTCATTGTCGTCCCTATTCTGCCGCATGATTCTCATTCCCTTATGTACCACACAGCTCCAAATCATGTGTGGGGTCCTGATAAGAGTCTAAGGTTGGAAAATATAGTGACATCCAGTTTACATGGCCAGACTGACCACAGACCAGATGCAGTTCAGCTGGCAGAGGTGCATCCAGGAGCAGATCCAGTGGTGCACTGGCCCCAGATTAAATCTGATTGGCCTCTGAAGTGCCTCTGTCCTGTCAGTAGTCACATAATAAACAAGCCACTTACTAACAATATAACTGATGATACTTATTTTTTCAAATTGTAGTTCAAGCTTTCTGATGCAAACGGTGTTGGAAAAATTTTCAAAATATTTTTAATGACGTGTGGCTTTGCTCAAAGCTACAAAGAAAGGAATGACTTCAATGTGCACCTCACTGAATTGATGACTGTGCATAGATGGTGGCCATATAATTTACCTCTGTGTAAATTATGGCTCCTTTTGCGTTACATGCCTTATCATTTGACATTGCATGTAAAGCAAAGGGCTGTCAGCTTTGAAATATGCTGTACATGGTTATTGCCTTGCTAAGCCTAGAAAAGAATAGAAGTAGTCAACAAAATGTTTTATGCAATTTTGTTATTAACTACAATAAAACTACATTTATAGAAGTGACAGCATGTCCTTGTCTTATATTTGTCTGTATAATTCTGCAGTACTATAGTAACTCTCTAAGAAGAAGAAAGAACTACACAGTGTTTTGCAGGGAAAAAGTTTTATTCTTGTCATAGTGAACATGATCCAGCTGAGAGATGGCTGCTTTGCTTCATTAGAACTATCACAACCATGTCACGTGTTGGACTCACTGCACAGAGGCTAATCAAAACACGAGATTTAAATATTATAGGCTACTGAGTTTCCATCCATCGCAGACACGTTGCAGCATTAGTGGCTCATGTGAACAGAGAGAAAATCAGACACATTTTGGGCCAAATACAGCCGTGCTGCTTTGTTCTGCAGCGGCTGAATCAATATTTATCAACTGAAAAATGCATCACCACAGATGTAAGAAAATTCTGACCAGAGTTGAAGATGTTACAGGATAAGAAATTAAGTGACTAACTGCCCCCTAACCAGGATGGCTGGGAACAAACTAATGACACGTGAAGCAATAACACTGAGTGTGATTTCCTTGTGATTCTGTGGCAGTGAAGAGGAGAGCAATATACTCGGGAGAGTTTTCAAGAATAAGCATCCACAGTTGGTCAGACTGCATCAAATTCTGTTCAACAACGGATGATTATCTCCGATCTGATGGTCGTTGCACATTCATCACAATCAAATTCCTCATTTTGTCAAGTGAACGTCGACGTATGTGACTGCAAATCATCCCGAAGCATAAATGAGTTAAACGTGTAGGTTTGCATACAACAAATGCATCAGCAGCTGAACAGTGATCCTATGATTAAACCCAACAGAATCTACATTTGCCACGTTGCTTAACATTAACACCAGAATGAACCAGTTAACTGTGACTTATTAATGCATAACAACAGCCTGCATCAATGCATTTGTTCCACACACACTTTAAAGTGCAGAGCTATGATGTAGGGTTGCATCAATGAAATAAATTCACTTCACATCAGCACCAGGCCTGAAATGTCAAATCAAAAAGTTATTCTGTCGCTTTAGACTTTTCTCCCTCCCCTCCCGTCTGAAAAGTTGAACACCCTTATAAAACACAACTAAGAAAAAAAAAGATAAAAACTAAAATACATTTCCAATCACAGTGCAATAAATTATGAGATTAACCAAATCCAATCGACCATCTACCCAAACTGTGTGTTTCACATTGATCTGGCCTCTGTCATACAACCAGGGACCACTAAGCTCTCCATCGGTCATATTAGTGCTGCACTTTATCTGTCCTCCAGCAGGTGGCGTCAATGCATCGTGCTGCTTGTGAGGACATTAGAAAAGTTAAATGTGAGACTGTGATTGCAAAACAAAAACGACTTGTCTCCAAACCCCAGGGTTGAATCAGAATTAATATCACAAACTGTAAGTGGCTGTTTTTTTACTGATGCATAAACACAACAGGGATGAATGTCATCTGCTACATTGATCATCGACTGATATTTTTCTCTCTCGAGTCTCTTTTGAGTGTGTTGCAGGACAGTAGTCGGATTTTGATATTACACGTGTGAAGTATGTAACATTAAACTAATCACACAAACTGGATTTAATTGAACTGTCTGATTCCAACACGTCTCTTTTCTTTGTTACCAAGGCCACTATGGAACTTCATAAGAAAACTCAACTCCTCACATTTCATGTCTTATAAAACTACTCAATTATGAAACACTGCTAGACTATATAATGCTGCCCTATCCAATGTATCAACAGATAACTGAGTCTGACTGTTTCTAGTAACATTTCTGAGCATCAGAAGGTCATTCTATCACAGTTTATCATCAGCATCTTCAGTGGCTGGAAAACTGCTTCACTTGTGACATAAAATATTTACAGGTTCATAACATTTTTCCACGATTTCCACTTTCATTCTTGCATCGTGGACTTCAGCAGCTCCTCCCCTTGTTTTACACATAGAGACCATCCTCATCTCAGTAGATCACTGACTCCAGATGTAAACGCATCAACAGCTCTAAGTGATTTGATCACCTATGATTACTTTTGTATGGAAAGTTACCTTGTATTTTAAAACAGTGTGTTTCTGTTATATTCATTTTCCAATCCCCAGATCTGATCACTGGCATCAGGGATTCATTTTAAATTAAAAGGATACATCTGGTTATTTTGTGTATTTTTCTTTTCGACAACTTCCACAGAAATTCTGACACCGACAGTTTCTGTATCCCACCAAGAAGGAGAGAGAGAGTGCGTGTGTGTGAGAGCCACGCTGTTGCATTAGTTAGCATATTCATCATGACCATGGCCACACAAGCTGCAGGTTGTTTTAACTCAATCCTGTTCATACAGTCCTGCTGCTGGAAATACCCACTACAGCATAAATTGTAGCTGCTGAAAATTGTCCCAATGCATAATTTCCTCCTGTTGAATGTTTGCTGTAAAATCTAAAGTTTACATATATTTAAAGATCATTTAAGGTTTATTTAAATGAAAGTATATTTGTGACCCGTTTTTAAAAATAATATTGTCAACAGAAATTAATGAATTTGGGATTAGAGCCACAGATAGATTAAAGAATGAAAAGTGTCTTCTCATGGGACTTGTCGATAACAAAACTATATAATATCAGAGGCGTTGGCCTTGTGAGCTTCTAAAACTTCCCAGTTTTTCCACCTCTGAGGTTACCCTGACAACATGATATCAAACACACTGTGACACTGCTAGAACCTCAGTTTGCTTCAAACTAAGTGATTGTCAGATCGTCCAACATGGTCTCCAACCACGGTGGCGCAACCCAGGGGACGGCTTTTGTAATTTTCCCAAGTGGACAATCTGAAAAGCACGTCCACTTTAAACTGTGACTGACCACGTTTGTGTACTTGTCTGTGTGAAAGTGGGCAGGGTTTAAACCTTGAAGCAGAAATGAAATTTAAAGTAAATATGAAAAATATACTTCGTGAAACTTATTTGCACTTTTACTTCACCCTGTCGAGACTGTAAAGCCACACAAAAACTGCATGATGCTGTTATGACCACAGTTGCCATTTAAAAAGGTATAAACTGTTTTCCCTTGGACACAGTGAGACGACCTGGTTCGTTTAAAGTACTGAGGGTTTCAGGATTCTCAGCACTGGAGCCAACAATAAACCGTGAGACATGACTGGATGATAGTGTCTAAGTTCTTTCCACCGAACTGTTTGACGAACAGGCCACATGTTCCTGTAACTACACTCTGACCTACTCAACTGAAATATTTAAATATCAAAAAGGTAACAAACAGCTACAGTAGCCTCCTGTAAAGTGCAGTAGTCCCATTCAGTAACAGTAGCTTTAGGAGAAAATGTTTGAGTAGCAGCGACTTCCTCATACAGATCCTTCCCCTGCAAATAATCTCCCCTGGTGGTGAAGGCAGATGAAATCATTTGATGACAGCTTAAATGCAGAGTGGAACTACCTGACCGTTTCTGTTATTCAATGCTACAGATGAGGCCCAGAGACATCACAGCCACAGTTGAGATGTACGCTTCAAAGCCAAGTAGAGACAGAAGAGAGCAGTGTTGTTTGCAACGTTGTTTCCAGGGAATCATTCACCTCACAAAGTACAGTCGTCACAAGAATTGGGGGGAGGACACGTGATGGAGGCTCTCGCAGTCTCTCAGTGACCCGATGCTTTTGAACTTCTCAAACATCGGAAACATTAAATATCCTCCCACCAGCAGCGAAGTCAATCAAGTTGAGTTCTTTTCCATTCAAATGTTCCAGGCGAGAGAGGCCTGGAGGATGAAAACCTGGGGAGGTCACAGGAGAAAGAGCATCCTCTCCTTACAGGAAGCTTAACGGTACTTTCAGGTGCCAGTGCACTTCATGGTGACTGAAGACAACCACAGTTTAGGGGGGTGGGTCTGAACAAGAGTTCAAAAGTCTGTCCCTCTTCCTTCCCCCATGATTTCCTCTCATCCTTGCGTGACTTAAAAAGCGTCTCTTTTGGAGGCACGAGAGTTGGTGAAAAAGAGGCGTCCGCTGCAACATGATGAGAAGTGAGCATGTGAGTGAGGGGGGGGTGGAGGTGGTTTGGTAGTGGTGTTACCATATGTGGGATTCACAATGAGTCATTTTAATGACACCCACTCCTCCACCTAGCCGGCGGTAGTTCATTCCTCCGTACAACCTGGAGAGAGACAAGCAGGAGTGAGGCGGAGAAAACTCATTGATTTGTACTAAATTGGCAGAATGACGAGAAAACAATGTGCTGCCAGTTTTCTGCAGCCCTGCAGATAAAGAAATAATATTCGGTCTGATATGAGATTATTTATTTACACTTAAGTTAAGTGGGGGTTGTCTTATTGTTAAGGACAAATGATTTGTTTCATAACAACAGATATTCTTTCTGAATGGGGAGAGAACCAGTGTAACTATCTACGATACATTGCATTATTGGTTGTTTGTAGCCTCATTGCTGCTAGGCTACCAAGTGTTTTCAGTCTGTCTATAGCGTATCAGCTTTATACATGTTTTGGTAGTTCAGTTTAATTTCTCAATGCTACTCTAAAATCTCTGATATGGAGCTAAAACATTTCTCTGGATTGTTTTAGTTTTAAAATTACGTTTTAAAACCAGCACATTTGAGTGCAGATGTATCCTTAGCTTCTAGCACACGCAGAAACCTCGAAAGTGCACCCTGAATGACAAGAATTAAAATAAAACTTGGTAAGACTTAGTTGAAATGGCCAGAATGACTATGACCCAGGGAGAAAATCACACAGCAGGATCACAGCTGTAAAAGATGAACGCTGAAAAGGTCAAGCTGCAGTGAAATCAAGGCCAGTGACAGAGCGATGGTCCTAACTGGAGTTCATCACAGTCACATTTCAATAAACATACTTTTATTCGCAAATCTGATTTTGCTAAACTCATCAAGCGTTCCTAAATGGACAGATTGATATCCCTGAATTTAACTGACATGTTGTTATACTGTGACAATTAAGTGTTACAAATGGAGAGCATCAAACTACAGGTTTGCAATTCTTTTGTTTGCTTTTTTTTTTTTTTTGCTTTTCATATGACATGGGAAAAATACAAATCGACACAAATTGCCAGCATTTTAGCCTTTTGCAATAAATAAAATTAGTTAAATGTGTCATAACTAAACTATATTGATATGTACATTTACAGCTAACAGCTATGATTGCTGCATTGATTCATTTGATTTTATAGTGCCACATACCTCCATGTGTTGGCATCAGGGTCGTAGACTTCTATAGTTTTGAGATACGTCGTCCCATCAAAACCTCCTACTGCCATCAGCTGACCATTGACCACAGCCAAGCCCACCTGCAGGTACAATTACACTTCAGCATCACATTCACATCGAAGCTTTTTTAACTAATCAAATCAGTACTTTAATACACACAATGACTCAACAGATTCAATGTCATTAAACCATCTGTAAGAATAACTGCAGTTTACACTTCATTAGTTGATGAAACAAACAAAACTACAGACAACATGTTTCAACTACACAAAATCTCAACACATACACACAGTCTCCCTTACCCCGCTCCGTCTAGAGGTCATGGCCACCACAGGAGACCACTGGTTAGTTCTGGGGTTGTATCGCTCTGCACTGCTCAGCTCCGTGGTATCGTCCCTCCCTCCAACAGAGTAAATCATGTCCTGGTAGACCGCACAGCCTAGGTGCTTCCTCCTGGTCCCCATTGGGGACACGGTGTGCCAGCGGTTCTCTTGAGGGTTGTAACGCTCCACTAAGAGACAAGACAAACACGGAATAATGAGAATCAAAACAAGAGAGTAAGTGTAGAAAGGAAATGAATAGACTGTGAGAGTAAACTGACAGACAGCTGAGTGGGAAACAACAGTGCACAGCAATGCGTTTCAATCACAACAACTTTACACTTTTCTATATCAGCTGTGTTCACTGGTCATTTTATCATTATTAAAAACTACCAAGTGGCAGTAACACACCAATATGTGCAGCCATGTGCCAACAAAGGCAAGGAAGACGATGAATTCAGCTAACATGTATGTATTCAGTGTTAGAACTTAGAATTTTTTTATTTGGAAGGAAATGACCATGACAGGTTTGCTGGACCTCAAGGATACAAAACATGCATTTTGATAAAAAGCAAAAATGCTACATGATAGTAGGATATGCAGCTGATAAAGGCTGAATTAGCAGGGAAACCATAAAGCAGACACCACTGTCACTCTCAGGATGATGGTCCCATTAGTTCTGTGAGACATCTTTGGTGCATAACTAACATGAACATCACCTCATTAACACCTGTCTTCTAATCTCTTGCCATTAGAGCTGTGACAGTTGAGTGTTTGTAATAGTTAAACTTCTCATAAATAAGTGCAATACCTGTATTTAATGGTGACGTTCCATCCGACCCTCCCACAGCATAAAGAAATCCCCCCAGCACAGCCACAGCTACACCCAGTCGCCTGGTGCTCATGGAAGCCACACGAGTCCATTTGTTTTCCTTAGGATCATATCTGCAGGACAGACACAGATACATCTGTATGTGAAGTGGGTGCTTGTCAAGACTGGTAAGTTGCAGCAGTAACAAATAACCGAATGATGAAGCTTAACGTGCAGAGTGTCAACAAGGCAAAAAGGATGATGGGAAAATTTGGTCTCGTATTTCAACACGGAAACTAATGAAATAATTGAATCCAAGCAAAAACACAAGATTTTTGGATGATACCTTTCCACAATGTTGAGACAGGAAACACCATCCTGCCCACCTACAGCGTACAGATAACCACCGAGGACAGCTACGCCCACACTGGTACGACAAGTACTTGTAGGTGCCACGTCACTGCTCCATTGGTTTGTTTTAGGATCATATCTGGACGACAGGGGTGGAACAGAAAAATAATTTTACTTTATAAAAGTAAGAAATAAAGATCAGAGATAATGAAGACAGAACAGAGGAGAGTGAAAGCTTAAGCGCTCATGCCACACCTCTCCACAGAGTTGAGATACGACGAGCCGTCGTGACCCCCCACCGCATAGAGCAAGTCATCCAGAACACTAACGCCGACTCCGCATCTCCGCTTACTCATCGATGCTACCATTCGCCACTCGTTGGTTTGAGGATCGTAGCGCTCCACGCTGGAAATGGCGTCCCCGCTGCACCAGCCACCAACTACAAGACACGAAGAAAGAGAGTCTATTTCCAGTCTTCCACAGCAGCAGGAGAGTCTACATAATACTATCAATCGACTGAAAAGATTAATATTTCTGTTTTCAATTACTGTGCCTGAAGGAACTGACCTGCAAAAAGGACCTCGCCACAGCGGATGGGTTTCCTTGGTCGTGTTCTGGGCCCCTGCATCAGTGGTCTCTCCTGTGGCAGCAGCAGGTAATTTTTGGCTTCATCAACCAGGTCTCTGAAACAACAGAATCACAAGTATATGATGCATGTGATGTGAGTCAGAAACCACTGTGGCATATTGTCACTGTATTTCATTCCAGGGTCTACAGACAGAACCCACCTGCACTCCTCATCACTCTTAATGAGGGGATCTGAACCCACGGTGCCCACCAGAAACTTGGGACTGAGCAGCGGCAGACGGACATGTTGCAGGACCTGTACAACACGCGAAATCGCAATCTCTCAAGTTGTTGTAATATTAATAAAATAATAAAATATAGAGAATGAATGTGTGGCTTGCGCACTAATGACCACACTGGCTGCAGTAGCTGGGATGGTTTTGTTAGCACTTTGAGAAACAAACCTGGGGCAGCTGCGGTCTGCGTTCCTGGATGCTGTATTTCACCCAGGCCATCACGGCATTGAAAACCTGCTCCTCGCTCCGCACGTTGAGCTCATCGCTGGAAATTATGTCAATCAGCTGGTTTGCTGGCAGAAGCATGAACTCTTCACTTTCCATGACCTACCAAAGAGCAGAGTAAAATACTCAGCCAGCAGCTTTACCACAAGTAGAGGACAGTGAATTTAAACTCTCTACAAATCAAATCAGTAAATTGTATTAAATATATATATGTGACCACATAGTGCCGTAATCATTACACTGCCAATCATATATATCAGTAATACAACTTACTGATGATTTACAATAGACTTCCTCACAAGTCAAATGTGGAATAACACAGTTGTAGCTAATAACATTAATAATGATTGTGACCTATTTAGTTTTGCCAGTGTGCTGGTATTTTGCATGACGACTCAAAGGGACTCTATTGGCAGTCATTTAATGTAGAATAATCCTCATGATTTGTTTGTTTCATCTAAATTGTATGAATTGTAGTTTTCTTTACCCCAGAAAAAAACCTTTATATTTAAATACTTTATATTTACATCAAGGGGACCCTCTCTATGGAGGCCGCCATGTTTTTTACATTAGTCCAGACTGAACAAACTAAACACCTTTTGAGTTTTTATGACAACTGAAGCTACCACAGGTTCTTTTTCATGTTTGGAAGGAGAGGGTGAGGTGAGGGGTGTTCAGCTGCAACATGCAAATTCAACACTAGATATCACAAAATTCTACACACTGTACCTTTAAGTACCATTAAAATGTATGTGTGCAGAAAATGCAATGACTCAAAGTGTCCACCAGATGTAGCTGGTGAAATTAGCTGAGCAAATGAGAAAACTGGTTTTCTGTGATTTTTCCCTGCATCTGGCCTGGTTTCTTTCTATTGACTGACAAGTTAGTCTTTTTTTAAGTTGTTGTTTGATGGATGTCTAGAGCGGAAAATGTAAGTTAAAAAATATCAAGGGCTACATGAGGCAAAATGTATAAAAATACAAAGCAGTGCTGAAATGGAGAAATGTCTCCAACTGATAGAACACAGTCACAACAGCAAATGTCTTTGCAAACGTGCACACATTCTGACGCTTGTGATGTGACGATAAAACATAGCTGTACACATGCTATAAGAAACCAGTTGTTCACACGCACAGGATCCATGTAATTGCTATTGTTTCCAGTGGTAACTTAGTTTTTAAGGTATATACCCATGTGCACAAAAAGCTCAGACTCTAATATGTGAAAAAAATCTGAGCATTTCCTTTTTCTACACTGTCTAAATGTACCTACATAATCTTTATAGCACAGTGCAACATGTTGTGAATTTTATGGGACTTTGGAGAGTTGTTCTCATACATTTTCAACATTCTTACCTCTTGAAAATTGTGCTGGGTGAACTTGTCTGCAATGCGGAGCAGCTCACGGCAGGAGTGTGTGTCGGCGAAGGCCCTGATGCCCAGACAATTAGAAGGATCTAGCTGCCTCTTTAGGAACTCGCAGCAGGCCTCCTGGATCTCAGCCAGCTGTAGGAGGCAGGCAGCGGGGAGCAGTGTCTGCACGTTCCCCTCCTCTACAGTCACCTAAAGAGCAAGGAGGGCAGGACATCACAGATTCGTTATTTAGATTATCATAGAGCTACAAGTAGGAGGGCGACAGTTGACATGCACACAGCCACCATCTCAGTCACAGAACTCTGCAGCACCTTCTCACTGTCCCCTGAAAGCCTCCTGAAGGCCTCCTCACAGACTTCCTGTTGTATCCTCCACCTGATTGAGGCTTTTAAATTACCTTGTTGTTGGTTTACCTCTAACATCTTATTTAAGATACTCAAAAGTTACTTGTTAGTTGATCCTACTTCCTTAAAATCACATGTCAAGTTATAAATAAAAACAGTTACAACTAAAACAACTGGCTGTATCAGTGGGGATTTCTTGGGCATCATACTTCATTTTTTAATAGGGATTATGCACAGCACATGTGATGTACCAGACATAGATAAAAGCAAATTTGGCATCTGGTCAGAGAGGAAACCGGTGATGCTCAGGTTGCAAACAATAAAAGTCAGTTGCGGTGAATCAGAACCTTTTAAAACTTTTAAAAGTAAATTCAGGAAGCAAAACATAGACAAACAATCCTGAAGCAGACATTAAAAAATAACAAAAATTTCCGACAGGGAAGTAAGCTCAGCATCATTAATATCCCCATTGTTGTGCACAAGACTAGAAATAATGTACTAACGTAGTCATAGCCCTGGTCAACTCTGTAAATTAACTCTATATTCAACAGCCGGAAAGAACCTGAACCAAAGTTAAAAGAGGCACAAATGTAGTAGAAACCCTTCTGCAGTAGGGCTACCCGAGCCAAAGACATTACAAAAATCTTTAGAAGACCAGTTCAACCCACCAGATGGCCTGGTTGAATAAATTTAAACATTTGAGCTTTCTGTTACTGTTGCAGATTGGAAAAACTCCCTCTCTTTGTTCAAATGCAATCAGCTTCTGAGCGAGTGAAGCTGATCCATATTGAACAAGAGTCTCCAGAAGACATACCCCAGCCACCAACCCACAGCCCAGCAAACCCAAAATATCAAGAGGCCTGATTAATGACATTTGTAAAGTTTAATTTAAAAAATTATATTTACTTTCCTGCTTCGGGAAATTAAACCATTGACAATCAAACACACTAGTCACTACTTGTTGCTTGTGGAATAAAAATAAAATGTTGAGTGAGATCTGCAGGCAGCAGCACTTATTTTCACAAACCTTCTTTTTAGCTAGTTTTAGTTTCTGCATGCTTATAAAGCAAATGTTTATGTAATCTAGTGTTGTCACAATACAAAATTTTGGTTTCAATGCCAAGTCATGAATTTCAACACCAATACTTGTTCTATACTTTTCTTAAAAACAAAAAGAGTCCCTCTATCTGAGCCAGTAGCACCAGACACCTGTAGTAAAAGATGGGTTAGATAAATGTATCAGTGCAGAGGGTTTTAATTATTTTGTGAGGCTACCAGTAGTGTGCAGGCTAATCCTGAGTATGAGCTTCATCATAATGAAATTCCAGACTTAAAATGTAATTTATGCTCATTATTTCCATGCTCAATAAAATTGTAGTTTATCTCTGTTAAGTGTTTCGTTGTTTGTTTGTATTCACACATGTAGGCTATATATAATTTGGATTATTGTGATGATCAAGATATATCATAGCTTGTTAATTTATATAACATAACATTATTATAGATGTACGTGTGACAGCTGCTGCAGTGATAGACTAAAAAACCTGCACGTCTACAGGGAGGCACTGCAGGTTCACCTGCATCGAATGAAAGCAAAGAGCAGCACAGATATACAGCTCTTATTTGATCTCTCACTCCCGGGGCACACCGCCTGGGGAACAGCCGCTGTTCAGCTGTAGACTGTTAGGACACCCTTTTCAAATTAAAAGAACACCAGCGTTCTGTTGACTGAATCCATTCATTTGTTTTTAAAAGAGTTTTATTGTGAAATATTTGCAAGAGCTGAAAATGCACGGCTTCATACTGTGAAGTACTGGTATTTATTTGAGTACACAGGACTACTTTTATACATGAAATACTGTAGTTGTACAAGAAACCTAAGCAAGGCTGTCGTTACATTAAAAGTTATCATTAAGAACTTCAGGTGATGATCTCACACATTTATGGTCATGCCCCGGGCGTCATTCAAGTATCGATACTAATAAATTTGGGTATCGTAACATTTTTAATAGCTGGGTATGGTGATACCTTTCTACTACTGGTATACCGTGCAACACTAATGCAATCCAATCAATATTGTCTTATGGCATTTTGTGAGCATTCATATTCATGCGAGCAAGACAGCATCAATCCCCGATGCCAAACCTTAACAAAACATAATGGAAGAGTTGTTACCTGCGAGGTGTAGGCAAAGTCAATGAGCAGCTCCATGGCCCTTTCATCGATGTCACGGATAACCACCTCAGTCTGCCTGCTCTCTGCCAGCTCTCCAGTAAACATTGCCCTGTGAAGAACATTGAAATAAATCCTGAGATGTAGCTCTCAAATGTACCCCACCTGCAGTGCAATGCTAATTCATTGAGAAATTGATCAATGTCCAGATAGAACTCTGGGTACCTGAAGTAGGGGCTGCATGCAGAGAGGATAACACGATGGGCATAAATCTTCTTGGCCCCCACCACCAGTACTACGTCACAGAGCTCACGGTGTTTCCTCAGCAAGTTGATCACCTCCAGGGTCTGCCGCGGGTGTTTGTCTGAGACGTAGGGCATGCGTGCAGGCTGGGGGACCCCTTCAGGCAGTTTGTTGGGGTCCCCCAGGGTACAGCGGCTGGTGATGTCCATTCCAGTGGCGTCTTGGCGTGCGCTGGTGGCCCTTGACATTAACCAGATGAGCAATTAATCATTGAGTTATATTAAATATATACTCAGGTTTCACTTCCAATCTTGTTGAACCGATCAGGTGAGTTGGTTCTGTCAATTTAACGGTGCAGGGTTCGGAAACATCCTTGATGTTGTGTGGATTACAAACTGCTCTAAATGCAGCAGAGAAAATCATGTGAGGAAAGAATTATTAATTTTGTGTGATGAGATAAAGGAAGAACGGAATGCATTATGTTTTCTCTTGTTGTGACCTGTAGCCAAGCAAAAAAAAAAGTGGGTTCTCCTACAAATGGAAAATGCAAACAGTTTATCTGTCAGCCATATTTAATTTTATTATTGATTAAATCATAATCTAGCACCATATAAAATGTAGGACGTTAAAAGAAGGAAGGTTTTACCTTGCTAAATAAACTTTTTGTTTTATGATGAATGGTTTAAATACAACCTGAGTAAATCAAATGTGCATATAAAAACAACAGCACCATTATGAAAAAAGTATGTGTAAGAACAACACCCATGTAAACACAGTAACATTAACAAATTGAAATAGTACAAGAAACCATCAGGAACTTTACCACAATATACCATGAAACCAGTAATTGTTCATCCCTTATCATGAGCTGAATAATTTCAAACATTTTCTTTAACAAATTCCAATGCCCATATCTCTTTGCCATAATAGTTTACACATTAGATTAGATTAGATTCAACTTTATTGTCATTGCACATTTCACAAGTACAAAGCAACAAAATGCATTCCCTGTAGTAGTACCTCTAGTAATACATTTGGTGGAGTTTTTATTTTTTGGTTGTGGACCTGGATTTGGAGTTGAGTTATTTTCTCCTACACAAGTGTTTCTCAGACTATAAATAGAACACCATTTTCTGCTTAACATCATTCCTTCACATAACTGGCCATCAAGCCATTAACCTGTCAGAGGACAGACACTGACCACAGGCTTAAATTAAAAGCGGAGCTGTGGTCAGACCCACCCAGTCCCCTGGGGGTAGGTGGAGGGGGGTTCTTTGTGGAAATGACTAGTCTTCAAGGGGAAACTGTATTGGTCTGTCTTGTACACAAGCTTAAGTGGCACCAACAGGATGGGTGTCAAAGATTCATGTGGGTGTTTAAAATCTTTTATAATTCTGAATACATTTCATGAGTGGCTATTTCTGTTTGGTGTGGTGAGAATGAAGTCTTAAGTTTTGATAAAAAGGATTTCATGTTTAATGGTGGAGAAAGAGTCAGAAACACAGATGTCTCATTCTGTAAAGAATCACACATACACACACATTCCTTCAAACGTCAACACCACACCTACCTGCGCATTGGTTTTGCTTCCATGCACTGAAGAACAATGTTTGGTCTCACACCTTGAGGTTAACCTACAAAAGCCAACAAAACAAATCAGACTTTCTTTGTAGTAGAAATACGTCATCAGAAAAAAGAAGTGGATGTCATTATAATAACATTGTTGACATCTTAAATAAACCAATGCTATTCCTTGCAGTAACTAAAGTGACAAACCTATAATATCCTAAAAGCTTGGATGCTCTGCAATATTTCATGTATCAAACAAAAGCACACCGCTTCTGTTTTGTGGGTCTCTCTCCCATCTTGCCGATGATTCGCAAGGCATCCTGGGAAATTCTCATAGCCCTCGGTTTGAAGTGTATGTCTGAAAAATCTCAGTTTCAAGGGCTGTACAGCAACAATTGGCCCTCCCCCTCTATCCAAACAAGCATCGGGACACACTAACCCTACGTGTGAACGTGCAAAACAGAGGGGAAGGGCTAAGGGGTGAAATGGGATTGGGCCTAAATTGCTTGTTTTATTCATGTAGTTTCAGCCAAACCTCTGTCATGCTACCTGATGAAGATGCCCAGTAGCATTTTTTCCTCAAAGAGAACCGCTTCATTCATTTGCCTCCAGTGAGTCATAATTATTTTAAGACACGCCTGTACAATCTATTGTGATCACACACAGTCACTCTGCCTTTGGAAAGTTCATGATTAATGGGTTTTCTGACACTATGTCAAACAGGTGTTTGATCAACTCTTCTGTTTGTTGTGAGAACGTTTCTGTATTTCTGAAACACCTTTCAACACAGTGCACTCTGAAAACAATGACCACAGACCTGGATCTTCATGTTTCCTACACAGACACAAAAACACAATACCCACAACAGGCAAGGTAGCATTGATATATCTTACGTGTCATGGGGAGTATGATTTACTACATTCATAGACCCCTGAGAAACAGCTAAAAACAAGTCATACCTCCAAAGATAACAATATATAAATAGTTATAGATCTGCAGTAAAATGGTCTTTTAAGGATCTTTGGTAAAACTTCAGAGAAAAAAAAACATGTGAAAAGCCATCCCATAATTAGTTTGTCCAGCCTTACCTGATGTAAACATCAAGTATTTAAATATTAAGTATTTACATATGAAGGGCTAATTCTAGGGGAGAATAAAACAACAATTTCTCCCAATAGAACCCTTTTACCTAAATGTTACACACTGAGCCTTTAGTGGTGACATCAGCCTTGTGTCAAAATGTCTCATGATGGCTCCTATCACAGCACATGACCTTAACACACGGCGACTCCTTGTGTTTTATTTGTTTCTATCCAGCTACATTATCCCCATGACTAACAAGTGGCTCTAGATAGACTTGGCATTTGTTGTTAGCAATTCAGCAGATAGACAGATCCCGGGTGCTCACTCTGCCAACCAGTTAGCTTCTTACAATTTCCAATGGCTTGCTACGAATTAGGTTTCACTGAGATTGAACGATCGTTGCAGCAGAAGCTAACTGGTTAAATAAAAGGGACGGAGTGTCAAATGCGCAGACTTAGCAAAAACAGTGAGCTAGCAAAACTAGCTGAGGATTTCGGGGGAATGCTATGTGTAGCTAGCCCCGAGGCACTGGATCCACAGGCGGGTCTATCTCAAACACAACAACAGCCTCATATGGAGTGTACACAAGAGTGTAACACAACGTGAAGCACAGCTTCAGAGGGGCATTTGTTAGCAGAAATGTGCGGGGTGGCCGCTTCAGTCTCAGCCATCAGGTCGCATATAAAAACAGGAATGCTAAGTTAATGTTAACGCTTCACAGAGGTCGGTTGCTAACACATTTAGCAGAGAGAGCTAGCCGACAGGAAGAAGACACGGTACAGATTGTGTTTACCTTATACTTCCATCCTATCGACACGTTGAAGCCGCTCGGCTAATGTTTACAGTTCTAATATCGGTTCAACACTGGGGCTCTTCTTCCTCGGTGCTTTGCGCATGCCAAATGCCAAACGCCACTTCCGGACTACGCGTTTTCAAAATAAAGGTGTGGCATGACGTCATTGCACGGTATACCTGCAGACTGTGGATCAGAATTCTTTTATTGTCCCAAAATTGGGAAATTAACAGCGTTGCAGCAGCAAGATAATCAACAAGCATGAAACATGAAGAATATAAAGTTAAGATAAGTTAAAACAAGATACATTACTATATACAAATTGCACTTTGACTTCTGCATTGGTTGTACATGATGAGGTTCTGTGTGTGTGTGAGTGTGAGAGAGAGAGAGAGAGGGAGGGAGAGAGTCCGTATGGTGGTCTACTGGGTGCAGTAGAGATGAAAAGACATGAAATATCAGAATTGTGTTGCGTTTGTCTTCACCTGATATATAGATGAACAATTATGTGCAATTAATGCGGAAAACCAGATCATTTACAGGGTTTGTTTCATTTATAGTAAAATACCAAAACAAAGTTGGTTCTAATTGTACTACACACTGAGTCATTTTGTTGGTTGGCTTAGGTAATTCAATTTGATGCTACTCAAAATAATAGTACATGTACTAACACATTTACACAACTGCTGTACTGTTGTCAGTCTTGTTTTTGTTTACAAAGCTATGCTTAATAAACTACCATTTTATTTATCATCCCTTTTCAAAAGTTAGAAATATGGATCACCACACTTGTTCTCACTTGTTTATGTAAATGCAGGGCACCATTGTAAAAGAGAGCTCTGCTCTCAATTGGTTTATACCCTGTCTAAATAAGGTTATCTATCTATGCCAGGACTAAAATCCCTTCAGGGCTCGGAGTAAAGACTGAGCTGCTGGGGCCCTTACACCAGATTTGCAGGCCCAGTTACTGGATTGTTCTTCAGACTGTGGTCTAGCTTTGCACAAAAATTCAACAAATAACTTCTGCCACAGTTTAACTTATATTGTGCTAAACTATAAAGAGGCCAAAGGATTGACAGTATAACCTACTTTGAGGAGGTAGTCCTGAACAAGAACAATCCCAAAGGTGACCAACAGATCTGTTTGGATCATGAAGCTGCTGCTTGTCTCATTCAAATACACTGCGATGGCTCGTGATCAACAACCTGGAATGACTACCCCATTAAGACTGTCATGTTTTACTCAACTAAGTTCAACCAATTGTTCAAATGTGGGTAAAAGTGAATAAATAAACTGTAATGACCTCTTCACATTCAAAATATATAGACGGTTGAAGACACTTTACCTTGTGATCCAGCAGAGGGCGCTCATAAACTTCACTATCAGCTTCATCTATAGTGGTATCTTCAGAACCATTTCACTTTTTGCACACTTTATTGTCTATCTATCTATCTATATATCTAAATATCTATATTTAGCTGTCAAATGATACTGAACATTTTCAAATAACAAAAAGTGAAAACACATGTTTCTATGCTTTTGCAAATGACTTTCTTGAATCCAGTAATTTATAGAAGCGGTCCAAAAACCAATTACAGCTACAAGCTCTGCACAACTGGATTAAGGTTGTTTACCTCATTGATCCTATTCAGTCACATGGGAGTTGTAATAGGCCATGATCTGTCAAGTTGTATTGCCCCTGCCATGTTTTTCATTCAGTTGAATCTAGTTTAATGTGGTGCTAATTTTTTATTCCTAATTTATTTGTTTTCATTACCACTACATTGAATTAATGATTTTAAGTTATATTTATGGGGTTAAGTTTAGTTTACTATTGATTAGTTTTGCTAAACTTGGGGATACATGTCTGCATCTCTCAAACCATCTGTTCATTCTCAAGCACATTAACACCCAAGTTGTCTGCCTTGCTCCTTCTCTTCTCCCCATCCCCTCTTCACTCAGTCTCTCGGTGCTGGACCATCAATTGTCTTGGGGCCGTAGCTTCCATGGCTGTCAGTGCCTCACTACAGACGCCATGGATCTAGATCTTCTAGCTGTGTGAATGATGTGTTTGGTTTGGCCTCTTCTGTATTTGTGTAGCCTGACCTCTTTGCAGGTTTTCATGGTTGAGAGGTGGTTGTGAGGCTCAGGTCTGGTCTGTTATCTTGCGTACATTAACATAATGTAATCTTGTCCCCATTCTGGTACAAGTTTTTTTAATTCTTCCATGGCATCCTATTTTTGATATTGGGTGATATTTAAAATGTACCTTGAAAGAAAAGTTGTACATGTGGTGATGTGTGGTCTTTATGTTAAATGCCTGTACGTGTGTTTATCTTGTCAATCAGACAAAGGAATAAGGAAAATGTTTCAGTCAATGTACCTTCTCCAGTGGTTTTAATACACAGTATAACCAAATGCTGTATTTCTAGTAGTCTTTACACAGAGAAACCATCTGATTCACTATTGTAAATGTCACAACTGATATTTTCTCAGTTACATTGAAAAGAAAAGTTATACAGAAAACCAAAGACATTTAATAGTTTTTTAAACAAAGTGCCTCATCTCATATTTTTCAAATAAATTAAATTTATAACATATACATCTTAGCTTAAGTTTTACATAAAGTTCCATCCCACAAAACATTTTACTTGGCATGTTCAACTTATTCTCACCTGTGAATCCCTGCGTGAATTAATGCAATTAATCCAGTGACTTAAAAGTCACACATTTGGTTTTTTCAACTGTCAGATTGGACAGTGAAAATAGAATTGTTTCAGAGCTGTTCATTTGCTGGACAGTTAATGAATCAATCCCATCCAATCTTGAGCTTTTTGGTTTAAAAGAAAAATCGAGAATAATGAGTTGCTTCTTCTTCCCATCAGGTCATCATCAGTTTTCAGGAACTCAGGCATGGCTGACTGGTATCTGTAGCAGGGAGTGGGACATGATTGGCTGAAGCAACAACGGATCTGGAGTTTGGACTGGGGAAAAAAAATAAAAATAAAAAACATTTAAAATCACGATTTTACAGCTATTTCCTAAATGCAACAACTACTGAAACAAATGTAACATGCTTTCCCACAAACCGAGTTTAAATTGCCAGCATTAGTTTTACATGGCAACCAGACAAAGGCTTTAGTCAGCTGTGTCTGGGTGCATCTTTTGTGTGACAACTCTTCGTAATACTGATGTGTGAATGTGTTTCTTACCATCCATGTAAGTCAGTGTAGTGAGGAGCGGCGTGTCTGGGGAAATAAATGTTGTATATTGCAGATCCTCCATCAAAGGTGGTGTCAGTTGACCAGGGGCAAGTGATGTCATCATCGATGAGCAAGCAGGATTTGGGCTGATGTGTTTCTTTTGACGAGCTCGGCAGTTCTGAAACCAAACCTGAAGGATGTTGAATGATTGATAACTGGTCATTAGTTGGTTAAACAATACACCACTTCCCCTCTTTCCACACAAACACATATTACTAAACAATATATGTGTGCATGAGACACCTAAGATTTCCCACTGCTGACAGCTAACAAGTGAAAATCTGATTTCTCCATGGTCATTATGAAGCTTCTCAACACTTTAAATACACATACATAAAAATAAAACCTAGTGGCGTTACAATATACAAATTATGAACATTTCTGAAGAATTATTACAAATGTGTAAGTAACTGCAAATAATCCAGCTTTATATAATAATCCTCAAATCGTATTCATTACATAATAAAGGTGTCAGCCCTGTCAGGCACATTGATCGACATTGATTGTAAGGACTTATCCAGTTTGAAAAACTTCACCAGACAAAGCCATTATTCCCCCAACTGCTGAGGTCAGTCAGCCTGTTGAAATAAGTAGATCCCATTAGAGCATCTCTCCTGGAGTTACGAACAGTTGTTTCACCTGAATAACTCTGCGGCTGAGACTCGTCCTCTCGGCCAATTTCTGGAGAGTCTGGGCGTCTGGGTTGTTGTCTTTAGCAAACTGAGTTTGCATTATCTACAGATAGAGGTGACAGAGGGGAGCATGTTTATATGGTTCACAATACAATCACATTTGAGGAGTATTTCAGTTTAGAAGAAAACAGTGCACCAGAGTGCTCAGTCTGCTTTGAAATACATTAGCTGCTAGTAAAGGACAGAAAAATACAGTAAGCTGAATAAGCCTTAACTAGCACATACAGTTGATATAATGGCTAACACTGGTTATTTATACTTTATAATTTAGAGTCATCTTAACCTGACAAATCTAAGTCAGACAATCACTCTCAGTACACACATCTGTGTGCCGGGGTATCCAGGATCAGGCTATTTGTGTCTCCTGTCGGTGTGCGTGCGTACAAACTAACAATGCATGGAAGGATTTTCATCAGACTTGGTGGGAATATTACTATTATTATAGGTTTCTCCAGGTAATACCTTTTGGAGCTAATCAATTAAAAGTCAAGGTCACCAACAATATTATCTGACAAACACATTTTCCAAGTTATCTCAGCAAACAACAGAACTAAAAAGACAATCTAAAGTTTATATTGATAATACAATTATTCCAAATTATATGATGCTGCATATAAACTTATTTTGATCAACTAATCATTTGTCATCATTTTATAAATTATGCTATGGTGACATCATTATAAAAAGACATAGGTGAAATATAACAGTTAGCATTGCCTCTTTGGAGAATACACAACATCTGTGTAGAATATACATTGTCCCTCTGATGCTTTTAATTTCCACTCAGTTTCTGACTCTACTATCACTTCTCAATTTTACTAGAAGCTTAAGTTTATATTTGTATTATTAACATATATAATAAAATGATGATTTAATTAGAAAACCACAATTACCCAACAGTAAAGCGTACAGTAGCATTTGCTCAGGGAAAGGGTTCGTGTAAAGCAAACATATCGTATAATATTATTTATCTCATATTTTGGACACAGGCATTATTCTTGAAAGTCAATTTAAAATATTCAGAAGGAAAAAATGACTTGGCTGTGCTCCCACACAGACACACACATCCCTATTTGGCAATACCTGCAACTGGTCAACAGTGAAGCTGGTCCTGGCCCTCTTAGCAGGTCTTGGCATGTTACTGGAGTCATCTTTGTCTGCCAACTCATCC